ATCAGAACAGAAATAAAATCATAAAAGAACGATTGAGTTTACAGTGTAACGGGTTTCCCAAGGAATCTAACGCTATCAGACACACTTCAGGCGCGGAACACCGTTTATTATTAGCCGTAGATGGAATGGAGGCTGAGGACAAGGGAATGGAGGGAGAAAGCAGCAGAAAATCTAAGCCGTACTTTGGAGGGAAATGAATACTGTATTCCAAATCATGTTAACGATGGAATGGCCACCACGGAAACTAATCATGGGAAAGGCCACCACAAAAACTAATCATGTTAATGATGAAACAAAAACTGAGTTATGGCCTCTATAAAGCTGAGTTCAAGATCGATAAGAGCAAGGGGCGGAGGATTCATTCCGATCCGCATTTTGAATGTTCTGGAATCCATCAGTGAGAAAATCTTTGGTTCACGTCTTTCTATCTTGGCCTCTCCGTTCATCAGGCGATCTATTTAAGCCGTTCCAGAAACAAAAGCTGATCACTAAGCATTATATCTGGTTTCAATTGCGCTTGCCAGTATGGTTCTCTCTCAAACTCATCATCTTCCGGCGCCGACGTTGGAGGTACAGTTGCAGATCATCAACAACACCGACGGCGACAACATCCATAGAGAGAGCTCGGTTTTCCATCTTCCGAGGTATTGTTTCTGATTCTACTTTCTGCTAATGTATGTTGATCACGATTTACAAGTCGCGTTAATTTGTTTGTCCCTCGCTACCACATTAAGCATCACATCCGCAGCTATCTCGCCTTCTTCATCAGTCTTTTTCCCTGTTCTTCACCACCACAAAAGCTTAGTGAGTCCTTGTCTGACTTTCTCTTGATCGTTTTGAGATGGGCAAATTATACTCATGAACAGGGGTGTTCATGCAACGGGACGGGATCGGGACAGGCCCGTCCCGGTGAACAGGAACGGGACAGGGATTTTGTCCCGTGTCCTGTCCCGTCCCGGTCCTATCGGGGGACCGGGACGTCCTGCTTCCTCCTTTTTTTTAAAAAAAAAGATACCATAATTTTTTATATGAATTTTTTTATATTATAATACTTATTTTTTATTAGGCTTTTAAAGATAAAAAAATTATTAAAAAAATTATGTAGAAAGCTTAATTATATAGCATGAAAAAGGTGTAAAAATAATACTGTAAAAAAAATCGTAAAAAAAACACTATATAATGACTTTATGAATTATTTTATTGAGGAAGGAGATTTTGTTGAGATAATACTACAACTTAAGAGCTACAAATCACCATAAAAATAAGATTTATTATTAATAAGTAAATTGAATAATCTAATAATAATTATTAATAAATAATTTTTAAAAGAAAAAAAATCCCGGGACGGGACGGGACGGGACGACCCCGTCCCGCGTCCCGTCCTGTCCCGGTTATTGTTCCGTCCCTTCCCGTTTTTGTCCCGTTCTGAAATTTTTTTTATCCCGTCCCGTCCCGAACTCACCGGGACCAGAACGGAACGACTAGGATGAGACAAATTGAATACCCCTACTCATGAATAGTCTATTGGGTGTCGAAGTGATTTTAATTATTTTGGGTTCAGCTGTGTTTTCCGTTATCAAAACAGAGGTGAAGAAAGCATGTCCCCCTGTCTGGAAACGAAAACGAAAACAATAAATAATTTTTAAAAATGTAAATCAAATGGCCTTTTTTTCCGCACATGTTCCGAAAACTATACCAGAAATAAAAGAAATTGTTTTTATTTTTTGCTTACGTGAGCAATAAGTTATTTTTAGATCAACTAGTTTTTGCCCGAAAAGAACATTTCTTATAATGTGTTCCTTCTGTGTATTCATTTTACAGTGAATGCGACGGGATCATTGTTGTCGGATGGGCGCTAATGATGTTAATGCTCGGTCTTGCTACCTTCGGCTTTCCTTGTGTTGGTAATTATTGAATTTATCCTTTGATTAATTATTCAAAATCATTGAACTTAATTTGTAAAAGTATGCTATTTATATTTTTTTTAACTTTATACCTTCTAAATTTAATTCAATGAGTTTAGTTTTATATTTAAAGTTAAAATACATCTAACATCTCGAAATATTTTTTCAGATAAAATCAGTGTTTTAAAATTATTTGTAGTGTAATTTTATTTTTAAAATACTTAAAATGGTGCAGCCAGATGTTTGTTTGATATTTTGACCGGAATAATCCCAGGTGTCATATGGGATAAGCCAGTGACGTGTCAAGCATCTTCTTTCCTTATTACTGTTCCTTCTTCCTCAGCAGTCAGTACCCCCTCTCCCTCTCTCTCTTGATGGGCTCGCCGCAACTGCTCTGTGAAGTGGCAACATTTACCGCAGCAATTTTAGTTCCGACGCAAGTGCTGCCAAGGAACAAAGTTAGAAATTCATACGCGAGATATGTATTGGTAAATCTAAAGCAAAGAAAGAACCAAAATGAAGAGGAAAAAAATTGAAATCTGGGTAAGAAGGATCGAAGAAGGCAGAGTTAGATGGATAAGTGGAAATGGTGACTGATCCGCAGAAAGAAAAAGGCCTCTTTCTCAATCTTCCACCAGGCACAGCAATAGGGTGTAGCTGGACGGCAAGGATATCAGAATAGATCATGTGGTGGTTCTGGAAGATCTTGGCTCAGATTACTTGGAACAACTCTTGATTTCCTCGAGGAATCTTGGGCCTTCACAATTTCATTGCCAAATGTTCGAATCACCGGTGGACTTAAGAGTCAAAATCCCATCGAAAGAGATGGAAAGGGTGCTGAGGAAGAAGGAACAGTAATAAGAAGAGGAAGAATCTTGACGCTGACTTATCCCAGGGATTATTCTGGTCAAAATAAAACTGACTAAATAAACAGTTTGGATATGGGTACATAATTTTAAATACTTTAAAGGTCATATTGCACTACAAATAATTTTAGATTACTGGGTGTATCCGGAAAAATAGTTTGAAGTGCTGATCGCAACTTAAGCCTTATACTTATTTATATGTTTTGTTTTCTTGCAGATTCACAAGAACAAGACTTCAATAAAGCATTGATAACGTACATGACAATGTTGATCCTAGAACTGGGAATCTGGATCCCTATGTGCATGTATATATCTCCTCCCGAAGGTCGTTTAACGACGACAAAAATTGTTCTTCGCGTTTCATTTGTGATTTTTAATCATGTTTCAAATATTTCAGAACAAATTACATCATCAATCTCCCATTTAAATTATGGTAAAGCGTCTATATTCATCAACCTATTTTGTGGAGTTGTGAGTTTTTTCATAATCTCTGCTTTGTGTTGGCTCGACATTGATGCTGAAACGAGAGGCGGCCTTAAATGGGAACACCTTCCACTTGGATGCAACGCAGTGCTCTCTGCAACTACTCTGAATATATCAGTGTTCCAGCTCATAATCAAGAGAAGTTTTCTTCATATTCCACTCTTTGCTGCTCTGAGGGATGTGATAGATTTGATTGACTTCATTATTAGGGTGGTTCATAACAAAGAGATGGCTTAGAAGATTGAGGGTTAACTTTAAACCCTGTTGTATCATGTTTTTATGATAGATAATTTTGTTCTGGCCCCAAAGAAGTCAATTTTATTAATAATGATAATAAAAAAAAAACTACACACAGTAATAGCCACTTAAAGGCTGGAAAGAAAAAAACACTCGTAAATCCTAGAAGTACAATATATCACTCAACAAACCTAGAATACAACCAAAATGATGGCGTTTATTTTGTTCAGCTTTGCATGGTTTGATTAAAATCTGTTAAATTATTGCTTCTTTTCCAATATCATTATCAATATGAATTTAATTCTTGACATTTTATATCATGTCTAATTCACTAATTTATGTATTACTTGTTCGGAAGTTGTATGCAATTCAACCCAACCAAAACAAAGCAGAGGCCAAAAAGATAAAATTACTTAAATATATGAAGTTGGAATATCTAGACCTCATATATCTGCGTATTACTTATTAATTAGGAAGCGGTGTGAAACCAAGCGATGCTTAAGAATTTTAAAAAGATAAAATTACTTAAATACATGAAGAATTTAAGAGGTCTGAAGAAATTAACCATCCAATAATTTTGAATTTAAATTTTTTACTTTATAACAGTCTCAGTCACACTGTTGTTTTCTAATCCCAGAACCAGCCTCGTTAACATAAAGCAATGCACTTTTGCCAAACTTTTTCTAAATGATCAAGCTCCATTGTCAAATCATAGTATAATACACTATAAAGCAGAAATAATATATATCACATAACTCTCCAATATTACTCCATAAGGAATTTTTCAAAAGACTTTTTTGATTTAGGAGTGTTTAGATAGGGAAAATCCCAAAAAAATAACTATTGAATTTCAAAGTTCTAAATCAGTATTCGTTACTATATTCATAAAGAAAATGACTACATTCAAAGAGCAAATGACAACTCATTTTTGTAGTAATTCCTAATTTGACATTTTGAAATTTAGCAGTCACTTTTTTGGGATTTTCCCGTTTAGATATCCCTAAAGTACTTTTTAAGAATTTTTTTTTTTACAAATCAAAATAAATTCCTTCATATATTTATTTCGTATATTATAAAATTATTTTTAAAATCAAACTTTTCATTTAAACGCTTCCTTAAACATAATCTGTAAAAGTATTCAATGATTTTTCATTTTTGCCTTTCAAAATTTTAGGAGTCATCCAGGAAAAAGTCTGACCTATTTAGCTTGTTTCCTGTTTGGCCAGAATGAAAAAACCGACAAAAAAAAAAAAAAAACTCTTGGGTCGATTTGAAAGGCGCTTTGAGCAATCTCTTTCAGTAAAGCGTCTGGGGTAGAGCAACTCGGCGTCCACAATCACGGGGTTCGGTGATCGGCGAGAAGGGACGATGATACACTGCAGCTGCAGTACGATGGTATCCCTCACCGCTTCGCGGTCGCCGTCTCCGTCTCCGGCTAGACATCTCCACTGCTCCATACTGAAAGATTTCAGTAATTGAATCCTCATCCTAGTTACCGAATGCTTGAGCCTCACTTGTTCAGCTGATTCTATCACGACCGACGATTCCCTGCATCAAGAACTCCTTGGAAACGTCGGAATCGCGGCGTCGTCGAAGAAGGTTAGACACTTCACACTCAGGTCTCTAATATCGATTCATGCGAAATTAATTTAGTTTGAATTCCTTGCTGCATGTTGATTTGGGATTAGACGAAAATATTTTAGATGGTATTTTGCGTGTAATGATGCAAACTTTTAATCGAACGAGTTTGTTTTAATTTTACGGATTACCAATATAAAGTCCTTGTCAAACGTCGCAGAATGGTTAAGATGATAAGATTCAAGCATAGCTGGTTCAAGCTGTAAATTATGGGGCATGTTTAATGGCCTGGAGTTAGGCAGGCATATATCGAGCATCAATGTCTCTCTGACTTGTCAAACACAGATACACTATATGTATTGGAGTATAAATCTCTCGAGCATAAATTGATTCCCCGTTAATTACATTATGTAAATTTGACATGGAACATTGAAATAGTGGCCAGTTGAATCAGTGAGGTCTTGAAGTGAGGTTTTAAGTTTGCAGATGTGGATGTAACAAGGTTTTTATAGACAAATAGATTTGGTTTTTCTGCCGTTGATCTTTGCTCTGGCTTCAATTATTGTTTCATGATAATTGAAGAAAAGTTCCGTTGTTAGAATTTTGGCTAATGAAGTATTGTAACAAGTAATTTATAAGCTGTGTAGATTGAGTTAACGTATTTTAATTTCCATCTCATTTCATCCAAACACAATGCTGGCTTTATCAACTGCTACTCAACTGTTACAATACCTAACATGTGATTGTGTCGATGTACTGTCTGTATGCAATTATAAGTTATCCTGGTTTTCTATTGCTGAGGTGCCCATGGTAAGGTTATATACTCTGAAACATAATCTCTGTCTCTTTTTCATGTCCGCTAATGAAGTTATTTTCCTTCAAGTTCTTGCAGCAAGGAAGCATTGATGCTGCTTCTCAAAGAGATAGTGCCTGCAGCACGGAACAACATAGATGCAAAATGTATACTTCTGGAGAAAGGAAGGACAACATTAGAAGGGCAAAATAAGACATGCTTGGCACTTGTAGCTGATGAGACTGCAGCAGTTCACTATCAGTTCTGGGGCGATGAGTGTGACGTTTTCGAGCCAGGCGACATCATCCATTTGGCCAATGGTATTTTCTCTTACCACCGTAGTAATCTTGTACTAAGGGCAGGCAAGAGAGGGAAAGTAGAGAAGGTAGGAGAGTTTACTATGGCCTTTGTTGAGACACCAAACTTGAGTGAGATTCATTGGATTCCTGACCCCACTAATCCTAAAAAGTATGTTCAGGAATATGTAATATCTCCACACTCTCGTGTTTTCCCTCCAATAACTTAAGTAATGAGCACTTTTATTGTCATGAACTTGTTCTCCACACAGTTCAAACCAAATCTCTGGGCTGATAACTTTGCTTTTGCTTTAATAGCTTTTAATGTCGTTGAGTTGTTTCTAATACATCGGCACTTATGGTCTTAATGTTGAATGAATATTTAGCGTCTCTCACGGAAATCATTTGCTTTAATAATTAATGATGTTATTGAGTTGTTTGTTCCTGGTCCGTATCCGCTTCTATGTTCCAAATTAGATGGGATATTCATATTGATAATTATACTCTTGATTTTCCCGAATTACAAAGTATATAATAATAGTCACAACAGATTAATATAGACATTAATCAACCTAAATCAAATCCTACTTGTCTCAAAGATCGTTTCATAATCGCATTCAACCACATAAACTATAGGTCGAACATGATCGTTTTATTATGATTGATCATTAATTTCTTGTCCGTTATATAGGCAATCTGCGAACATTAAAGGAAAAAAAAAACTGTGTAATTTATGAGAGTAAAATGCTGTCATAAGTGGCATGAATTGAAGAAACTACTATTTCTGAAAACGAAACAAAATATGCTACTCTCTTCAATCCTTAATATGGGACCCATTAGAACCGAAGAAGTATATTCAACCCTAAATATAATATTTGTTTTGAGTGTTTTTCCCTTCTAGCTCCAGTCTTGTTCTCTTGGCTCAAACTAAGCACATGGTTTATCAACACGGTGCTTTCTCATTTCCCCATTGGAGAAGCTTTTAGATACAAATGAGAAACATGCACCCCTTACAAAAGTGAAAGAAGTAACCACTAGCATCTGCGGAGGCGAGGGAAGATCAAGCAACCACGTCTCCACCAGAGACACAGTTTTGCTGAATAATTCCTTCTATTACTGAACAAGCTATTCCACAGTTCCCTAATGAGATCATTCAGTTACTATACTCTCTTTGTGGATTATATAGACAATCCATAAACGTTGCTTAAAAAAGACACACATCAACAGACCAAAACAAAAATGAAATTAAGCACGAAGAAATGCTTCACATTTTATACCCTTTTATTAACCTTTTATAATGGGAGACCAATGAAATATAATATATATATATATATGTATGTATGTATATCTTCCCCCTTTTAGGGATTTAGTTAATCTTCCTTTTAAAAAAGTTGTTTTCTTTGGTAATGTGCTTTGTTTTCATCAACTATGCTGAACGAGGCTACACATTTTCAAAAAAAAAAAAACCACACACACACGCACAACGTGATCGGAGCCCCACCTTATGTTGTGACAATGTTTTAGGGTGCTTTATCTGGATTGCATAATTAAGATCATTTATTGATAATATTTTGAGGTTTATATATATATATATATATATATATATATATATATATATAATTCGAATGTTTTAGGGCTTTTCCTGCGCTGCGGAGTGCGGATCCAACGTAGCTCATTTTTAATTCTAAGCATTTTTGTATCTCACATATGTACTTTGAACCTAGTAAAATCGTTTTTAAAATTATGATTTGATTTTTATCCACACTAAAAAATAAATGAATAGACTTATGGCTTGTTTTAATGTGTTGAAAATAATTCTTTTTATCATATTTTGGGTTTTTTTTATTGTCTCTTGAAATTTTCTAATTTTTAAGCACAAATCAATGTTATTCGATTCTAGATATAAGAATTAAGTAATGAGTTTTTTGTTTTAAATATAAAATTTTAAATTATTTTATTTTTTAAATTTATAAATTTATATTTTTTCTGATCTTGAATTTATAAATTTTTATTCAAATTATCTGTATTGATTACATAGTCCCAAGAGATTTTTATTTACTAGATGAGCATCTTAAAAAGGCAACACACCTTTTTTTAAATGTTGTTTCGTTGCCAACCGCGCCATGGGAAAATTACATAAACTATAGGTCATTCCTATTTCAAATGTCCATATGTCTACCATTTAGAATATCTGGGATCAACTTTAAGCTGAGTCAAGAAAGTAACAGTTAAACATAACATTTCTGTTAGCCTGGGATATGGACGCACCATTTTAATTAGTTTAGGATACTGTATGCATCCAAAATTACTTTAGGCCACTGGACGCACCTGGGTAAATAGTTCAAGGTGCTGGGCATACCTTAGCCCTAAAATATATTATACCTGAGTTTCAACATAAGAATTAATTGATTAATTTAAATAGATTAAAAAATTAATTAAATAAATTATTTGTAATAAATAGATATTATCTTTTATAAAATATTCTTATTAATCATATGTATTGGCTGGATTATTATTTGATAAAACCTTTAGTATCCACAACTACTATAATGACTACCTTAAAAAAATAAATAAATATAAAAAACAAAATGAATTGAAATCTTATATTTAAAACTAAATTAAATGTTAAACTAACTCTTATATCAATAGAGATGCACAATCCAAACTTGGACAAAATTCAGAGTACGAGTGGCCGAAGAAAAAAGCTTTCCTTCTTTCCTATTTTTTTATTTTAGAAGTACGTGGATAAGACCAAATCATCATTCTAAGAATGATCTTACGACACTGAGAACAATTTTCTTTCGAATGTGTTTTGTTTAGTGCTTTTGTGGAACGGGGAAAAAGCTCTTTCGCCATGGGATAAAAAGGGACCTGGACCCTTTCCTGTTTTTTGAGGGAATCATTAGCCGTAGATGGAATGGAGGGTGAGGATTAGAGAAGAGGATACGGTTGGGGTACGTTTTGACAGCACCCACGTGTCTGGGAAGTGGGAAGTGGGAACTGGGAAGTGGGAACTGGGAACTGGGAACTTGGTCTTTCTCACTTGGAGGGTGAGAATCATTAGCACTTTGTGGCTTCTGTCTTTCTGACTTGGTCTTGGCCTTTGCGTTCATCAGGCGTTCTATTTCTCAGATAAAAAAAAAAAAAATCAGGCGTTCTATTTAAGGCCTTCATTCTTCAGCAAGCAGCGTCTGAAATCAAAACCGATCACCAAGCAATCTATCTGGTTGCCCTTGCGCTTGCCATTATGATTCTCTCTCAGACCCATTCTCAGACTCATCATCTTCCGGCGCCGACGGCGGATGTGCAGTTGCAGATCATCAACAACAACGCCGCCGCCACCGACGACAACATCCATACAGAAAGCTTGGTTTTCCATCTTCCGAGGTATTGTTTCTGATTCCACTTTCGGCTATGTAAATTTATCACCGTTTACAAGTCACGTTAATTTGTATATTTATTAATTTTTTCATAATCTAGAAAAATAAGAGAGGATATTAAAAAAGATTATTATGATATTTTAGAAAAAATATGTTGTATTTCTTATAATTAACTAATTTATCTAACTTTCTTAATCTAATCAAATTAAATAAATAAGTCTTATATTAAAGATAAGAATAGTATTAATCTTGTATAAGGAGCAGTGAAATGGCTATGGCTCGTTAGCTGTACGTTCTCTCTCTCACACTTTGTAAATAGCTAAATATTTAGGATTTAAGAAAATATTTAGGTCAAATTACTTATATTTATTATGTCAAATTTTCTGATCATATACGGCTAAGTGTTTTATTTTTTTTTCTATTTGGGTTTATTTTTAAATGTTATTAAATACTAATATTTTAAAAATAAAACATATGATCATGCATGATGAGAGAACTTGACATAATGAATATAAATATAGTCCAAATATTTAATGATAAAAAACAACTCAAGTACATAAAGGCAGAGCTAAATAGTTAATGATAATAAATATGTATATTAATACCCTCTTCGATCTTATTTATAAACTTTAAATTTGAGAAATGATGTGTTTCATTTTATAAGTTTTAATTTGGAATTGTCTCAACATTTAATACATATTTTTTAATATTGTCCTCAATTATTTTTCTCTTATAACATTTTTCCATGTATTCTCTGTTATCTGTTTTTTTATTTATTATTATAAGAGCATATTTAAAAACAAAAATATATTTATAACTTATTTATTATTTTTAATTAATTATTTCTCATCTCAACTAGTTATTTGAAGTATTTTACATAGGAAGCAGTACACCACATTTCTCAGATTTCATTGGCATCCGAACTGTGTTTAATTGAAGTTTTTCTCGCCAGGGTATTTAATTGGAGCTTAGAAAACAGACAAAAATGGTGGCCCTGAATACGATCTATTTTAACGCATAAATGTTTATTTGAATTTTTTATTATATCTATTCCTTCAAGGAAGACTCGATGGAAAGTCAAACCTTTCTAATGCAAGAAAAGAGAACCTCAAGGGTCAAACCGTCAAACACAGAGATGGCCCGAAGGTTCTTTTTTTTTTTTTTGTCTTTGGCAACAAAAGTTACGGTTTATTTAATAATATAAAAAAAAAGGGAAATTAATCTTTTGGCCCCTATAGTTTTTACTCATTTGTAACTCAGTCCCTATACTTTGACTCGCTGCAACTCAGTCCCTATAGTTTTGACTCGGCTGTAACTCAGTTCCTGAAGTTTGATTCACTGCAACTCGGTCCCTATAGTTTTAACCATTTTATAATTTAGTCCCTTCTTTTATTAATTTATTTTTCAAAAACACAAGGACTAAATTATAAAATGGTTAAAACTATAGGGACCCAGTTGCAGCGAATCAAACTTCAGGAACTGAGTTATAACCGAGTCAAAACTATAGGGACTGAGTTGTACCGAGTTAAAGTATAGGGACTGAGTTACAAATGAGTAAAAACTATAAGACCAAAAGATCAATTTTCCCTAAAAAAAATTTTGCTTCCAAATTATAATTACATCTAAAATGACAGGGTTTTTGGTTGAATAAAAAATTATTTTAAAAAATATTTTCATTTAAATCAAAATAAAACTCTTTTCACATGCTTATTTTGTATGTCATAAAATTATTTTTAAAATCATGGTTTGTTTTCCACCAAACATCCTAAATAAAAACAAAAATAATAAATAATTTTTAAATAAGTCAATCAAATAGCTTTTTTGTCCTGCACAAGTTCCTAAAACTATAGCAGAAATAAAGGAAATTGTTTTTTTTTTACTTACGTGAGCAATAAGTTATGTGATATTTTAGATCAACTCCCCCCCCCCCCCCAA